TTTTATTCATGAAATCTACAGTGCATCCTGCAGATCCTGCTCATCTGTGTGGTGTTCCCACTGCACGTAGGCTTCTGTTTCAATTCCTTCATTTACATTAGTCATATATAAAATGTCCTAAATTCCTAGTGTGCTCTATTTTAAAATCCCTCTATGTATTTCAGTGATTCCTTTTTCTATCAAATAAGTCATATTTCATATAATAAGTGTAGTATGTTTTGAAAACTGATAATGTATTTCTTATTTTTGTCTTTTTCAGAATTCTTGAGATCACTTTGGAGAATTTTTCTTTAATGTGTCCCTTAAATTTTAGAGTCAGTTTATCACATGCTATAAGAAAAAGATTGAAATTGTACCAGACATTTATTGAATTTATACATTCATTTTGGATGATAAAAATCTCAGTGTAGTATTGACTTGCATTTCTCTGATTATTAAGGATGTTGTTAAGGTTTATTGAATATTTCTTCATATATTTGTTGACTTTTTAAATTTCTTCTTTTGAGAAACATCTAGTCCATTTGCCCATTTATTGATTGGGTTATTGGGGGTTGGTGTTAATATATTTTCTTCAATCTATGTTTTTGCTGCCCTATTCAAATGATCAGACAACTGTCTCAGGGTTTGTCCCTGTGTTTTCTTCCACTGGTATACATTGTGTCTGAATGCCAATGCCATGCAATTTTGACACTACAGCTCTGTAGTATAATTTGAAACCAGGCATTGTGATGTCTCCAGCATTGCTTTTCTTTCCTTAGGATTTATTTGGCTATTCCAGGTCTTTTATTGTACCACATTAACTGTAGGACTATTTTTCTAGTTCTAAGAAAAATGCCATTGGTATTTTGATGGGGATTGAATTGAATATAGATATCACTTTGGGTAATGTGACCATTTCAACAATATTAATTCTGCCTGTCCATAAACTTGGGAAGACTTTCCATCTTCTACTGCCTTCTCCTATGTCTTTTCTCAATATTCTGAAGTTTTTTGTTGCAGAGTTCTTTCATCTCTTTAATTATATTAATCCCTGGGTTTCTGGTTCCTCATTGCTTTTTTTTAGCGGTTTTAGTATTTGTGATTAGAAAAACTATTAATTTTCTGACTCTGTATCCTACTACTTTGATGAATCTGATTATAGTTCTAGGAGTTTTCTGTTAAAAGATTTTTAGTTCTTCTAAATACAAAATCATACCATCTATAACCCTTATCTAATTTCATCCCCTGAATGATTGTTCTCCCTAGAGTTTCAAGAACTAGGGGCTGGGGATATAGGTCAGTTGGTAGAGTGCTTGCCTCACATGCACAAGGCCCTGGGTTCAATCCCCAGCAACACACACACACACACACACAGAACTATATGGAATAAGAGTGGTGAGAATGGACATCTTTGTCTTCTTCCTGATTTTAGAGAAAATTGTTTTCAGTTTTTCTCCATTTACTATAATGTTGACTTTCAGTCTGTCAAATATAGCCTTCATGGTATTGAGGTAAGTCCTTCTATCCCTTCTTTTACTGGTGTTTTTAACATGGATGGATTATGAATTTTATCAATGGCTTTGTCTGCCTCTATTGAGATGATCATGTGATTTTTGTCCTTAATTTGATTCCTGTGATGAGTTACACATTTATTGATTTTCAAATATTCAATAATCCTTGCATCACTGGAATGAAACCAACTTCATTATTACATACAATCTTGTTAATATGTTGGTGAATATGGTTTGCTAATATTGTCTTGAAGGTTCCTGCATCTATGTTCATCTGGGATACAGGTCTATAGTTTTTTCTTAGATGTGTCCTTATCTGGTGTTGGTATCAGAATGATATTGGCTTCACAGAATAAATTTGGAATTTCTATTTTCAATTTCATGAAATAATCTGAGGAGCATTGGCATTAGTCCTTCAAAGGTCTGGGAGAACTCAGTTGGGAATCCATCTGGCCCTGAGCTTCATTGTTGTTTCTATGGTTGTTAGTGGCAGACTATTTATTCCTGCTTCAATATCATTGCTTTTTATTGGTCTGTTTAGATTTTCTATATCCTCTTAGTTCAACCTGGGGAGGTCATAGCGATCATAGTGAATGTAAGAAGTTTAAATTTTTAAATTATATTACTACATTACAGTTATACATAATAGTGAATTTCATTTTTGACATAACCATACATGCTTGGAATATAATTTGTTCCATTTTAGCTCCAGTATTTCATCTTTCTCTCTCTTCCTCCCTACACTATTCTGCTGGTGCTTTATAGTGAGACACTATGAATATGGTTCTAAGAATGAAATTTATAATTATGAGTGCCTACATTTTAAAAAAGATTCCAAATAAACTACCTAAGGATGCACCTTAGTGTCTATAAAAATAAGAACAAATCAATTAAAAACTAGTAGGACAGTTAAGATCAGAGCTGATTGAGAATAAATAATTAATACACAGGATAAATGTAACACAGAGTTGGTTTTTTGAAAAAAAAAACAAGTTTAATAAACCCTTAGCCAAATGAACAAAAAGAAAGAGAGAAGACCCAAATTAATAAAATTAGAGATGAAATAAGAGATATCACCATAGTTATCACTAAAATCCAAAGGATTACTAGGGACTATTTTAAAACCTGAAGGCATTCAGTCCCCTGATCTTGAAGAAAATTACCTCAGAAGGAGTTCATGCTTTCCTCCTCAATCCTGATTGTTAACATACCCATGAAAAAATAAACACGACCTTCACTTATGCAACCATGTGGCACATGTCTCTATATCTGACCTGCTGTATCGCTGCCCAGTGAGGGCTCACCAGCACATACCTGTGCTCTGTGCATGCTTTCTTGGTGGCAAGACTCAAGTTTACTTCTAAAGTGATCAATGAATTGCCCAACGCAGTGGCACACACCTGTAATCCTAGTGACTTGGGAGGCTGAGACGGGAGGAGCACAAGTTCAAAGCCAGCCTCAGCAAAACTGAGGCACTAAGCAACTCAGTGAGACCCTATCTCTATATAAAATAAAAAATAGGTCTGAGGATATGACTCAGTGGCCAAGTGCCCCTGAGTTCAATCCCCAGTACCAAAGGAAGAAAGAGACACTAAAGTGATCAATGAACATGCCCACACATGCAGAAGAGGGTCAGCTAACACATAATGTGCTTCCATGGGGGACTCTACCCCTGTGCCAACCTTGGCATCATGTATCACTGTCATTTCTCTGTGTCCCTGCACAGATGGAGATAGGAAGGCTTCTGGTGCTAGTGTGGAATTGCATCCTTACTGTCTCTCGCCTGTGTGAGAAACTCTGCCTGCTCAATGTCTATTGATTTCAGATATTTCCTTTTAATGTTTTATTAGTATGTTATGTTTACACATAATATTGGGTTAATTTTAACATAATCATGCAATCATGGAACATAATTTACTCCACTTCAGACTTCCTCTTTCCCTTCCCCCCTCCCTCTCCGTCTTCCCTTTCCTCTACTTTCCTATCTTCCTACTATTGTTTCTTAAAATCGGTGCTTCATAGGTATTCATATAGGTGGAATTCCCTGTGACCTACTGATACCTGTGCATAGCATGGTCTGGTCAGTTTCATTCCACTCCTACTCCCTTCTCCCATCCTTTCTCCTTCCCCCTCCCCTTCCTCTCTCCACTGATCTTCTACTTCCAGGAGATTCCCCAGCCCAGGCTTTTCTCCCTTATTTTGTTCTAGCTTCCACATGTGAGAGAAAGTCTTCCACCCTGGATTTTCTGAGTCTTGCTCATTTCACTTAGCATCATGTTCTCCAGTTCCATCCATTTAAGAAAAAGTGCCATGATTTCTTTCTTCTTTATGGCTAAAACTCCACTGAGTACATACACTACATTTTCTTTATGTTAATCAGCCATGAGTTTAGGTAATTTATAGATGATGAATATTTTAAATAAACTTTGTATATTTTCTCTTATTTAAGTTAAAATAAAATCATTGGATCAAATGCTGAGACTTATTAATTTGCCACTAATTCTTAAGTACTTGCTAAGAAGCTGATGCATTCAGCATCCTATTCCATATGCAGCTTCTCCTCCTTCCTCCCTCCTTCCCTCCCTCCAGTCCTGGCACAGACTCATCTACTTGGCATCTCTGTGCCTATTCTGGACACTTCCCATAATGGATTCTCCTGGCATATGTCTGTTTGGCACTAATTGTTTCTAAATGCATTCTCTCCACTTCTGTTTGTCTTGGAATGTCTTTGTTTCTCATTCATTTCCAAAGGCCAGCTTTGCTGGATACAGTGTGTTTCACTGGAAGATGTTTTTTCCTTTGCCATTCTCTCCCAGTCCATCAGATTTCTGCTGAGAAGTCTACCTTCACTTTCAGGTGAACTGGAACATGTTCAGGTATTGTTTCTTTTCTCTTGTGATCTTGAGAGTCTTTTTCTTTCACTTCAAGAATTTGATTTTTTCCTTTAGGTAGACTGCGTTGAAGTTAAGTCTGACTGCGACATTTGACCTTTCTGTGCCTGGATATGGTGTTCTTCTCTAGGCTTGGGACATTTTCTATTATAAAATTGGAGATTAGAATCTGTCATTCCTCTGGCATTCTCAAACCCATCATGAACCCAAATAACCCAGGCATTTTTTTGCTGGGGGGGATACCAAGGCTTGAACTCAGGGGCACTCAACCACTGAGCCACATACCCAGCCCTATTTTGTATTTGACAGGGTCTCACTGAGTTGATTAGTGTCTCATTTTTACTGAGGCTGGCTTTGAACTCATGATCCTCCTGCCTCAGCCTCCCAAACCACTGGGATTACAGGCATGCACCATAGTACCCAGCCTCAGGTATTTACCCTTTTAATGCTCTCCCAAAGTTCCTATATGTTTTCTTCATTCCTTCATTGTTTTGCGTTTGTTTTTCTTTTGCCTCCTCCTTTTTATTTTCAAGTTACTGTGTCTTTGAGCTCATTAATTCTTTCTTCTCTTTAATCTACCCTGGTTTGGGCACCTTTCATCAGGTTTTCAATTTATGTACATGCCTTTTTAAGCTGAAGGATATCTCATTTACTTAATTTCTATTTCTGTTAAATTTCTCTGTTAGAACTTAACTCTATTGGTTTCAAATTCTCCACAAGATCTCCCACACTGACTACTA